TTGTCAAATATTAAATTGTATAAAAGAGAATAAAAACTTATTAAACCCATGAATAGAAGCCATTGTGCTTATGTGTATTATTTTAAAATATATTTTTGTTCACCTATTCCTTCTGCAGACCTCTTAGAGACACATATCCATGCCTTATTTATCTCTTGCTCTGAACTTCTCACCCTTTGGACCCTAAATACGTGTTTGTCGAACTAGATCAGACCAATTCACTTAAGTAATTTTAAAACCACAAAGAAGAAGGCCGGGAGTGGTAGAATATGACTGTAATCTTAACACTTGAAAGGCTGAGGTAGGAGGATCACTGCTAGTTCAAGGCCAGCATGGACTACATAATGAGACCTTGTCTTTAAAAAAAAAGGGAAGATAGCCTGGGATTTAGCTCAGTGGTGCCACCACCTTCCCCACAAGTTCAAGGTCCTGAGTTTGATCCCTGGTACTATAAAAAAACAAAACAAACAAAAAAACCCAAGCTACAATCAAGAGGGAAAAAAATGATGAAATTAAAAATGTTTAATGTTGAAAAGAAATATATAATAAATGCAAAAAAGAAATGATATATAAAAAGAGCACAATTAATCAATTGAATCATTCTTTTGAAAACAATTAGAAATATATTACCTACTGGCATATATTTTTTTAAAAAGGAAAATCTACAAATAGCACTTAAAAATGTGAAGGATTTATACCAATAGAAACATTTAAAACATTTAATGTACCACACAGAGCTGTACATTATACACTTCAAGGACTAAATGAAATGGACATTTTTCAAAAAAAGACAATAAACTTTTTTAAAATATGGAAAACATTTAACTAAGAAAATGAATCAAAATAATACATCTGCCTCCTTTCAACCTTGCTCCCGATTGCTGACCTGGATTGTAAATTTGTGGTGTATTTATCAATCCTTTTACTGTGAATTTTTCTACTGTCAGAAAATGATAAATACCATTATATAAATACCATTGTAAATCTGTGGTGTATTTATTAATTTTTTTTCTATTTCCAAAATGTTCTGTGTGTTTACTGTTTTACAACACAATGCTGTCCAACATAGGAAATAACTGTTAGATCTTCAGCTGTCTAAAATAATGCAGAGTGTTTACTACAAATGCAAACCCAATTGTTGAAAATTAAACACTCAGCCAGATGTGGAGCTGCATGCCTGTAATCCAGCACTGGGAGGCTGAGACAGAACGACGGCAAGTTCTAATCCTTCTCTAGAGCAGTGGGGCGGGATCTAGAGCCCTGGAAGAGAGATTGTCTTAGCCAGACCCTGTCTAAAAATAAATATGGCTGGGATGTAGCTCAGTAGTAGAGAGCCCTGAGTTTAGTTCTTAGTACTGCAAAAATAAACAAATGGCAAAACAAAAAAACAAAAACCACTCAAACACAAAATGGGATACTATGAAGAAGTATTAAAACAAGTGGTTTTCAATTTGCTTAAGCTGATTTTTATCCTTTAGGTCTCCAGTGGAGTGCATTATTTTCCCACATTGTTGTTCCCAACACAAAAACAAAAATGTAATCTATGGAATCATTAATTCCAGTGCTTCCAGAATGGATCACAAACCCCATTTTCTAGAGCTTTTCCTGACAGAGAGGAACAAGATAAGCACATCAAGAGCCCTTTACTGTAATTTACTCATCTTTTCTCTCTAGGAGGTACCATGTGAATTGCCATTAGTAAATGCTTAATAAATATCTGTTGAACATGATCAGATGAATACAATATTGGATAGTTTGGAGGAAAATCTAACTATTTTGAGCAATAAACTAGATGTTTTCATAGACTGCTTCCATATTTAAATCTTATAATCAAGTGATTTTCTTAAAATATGACGTTTGAACTTTCTAGAATACCGATGGCCACTGATTTGCAACACTTTTCATTAGTTGTGTATTTTCCCTTTCATGTGACATGCCAGTTTCCTCCAGGTTTACTTTGTAGCATGACCAAAGACTGTCGCAGCTGGCTGTTTTCCTTCGAGTGTTTGTTAGTTTTTCTTTCAAGCTTTTTATCTTGGCACACAACTCCTCCTTGGACCGCTCTGCCAAGGGCGTCTCGTCCTCACTGGAGCTTTCGCCGGGCAGAAAGGCATTTCCCGAATATGGTTTCTCTGCCCTTTTTCCACTTCACTATTTGCATTTTCTGAGTCCATCGTCTGTGTCCTTTTCCTCTTTCCCTTTCTAAGAGCTTCAGTGTTGATGATTTCATCCGTCTGCAAGATCCTCTGCATTTTCTTAATTAGCTATCACAGGTTTTCAGAAACTGTAGGAGGGAATGGGATTGCCCGTGCGGATGATGCTTATGCTGCACAGAGCCACTGAGTTAATATTTTTCTCGGCTGCATCCTCCAAAGGCCCACCCCAGGCGCCCAGGGCGGGGCGCGGGCGCTTCAGTGTTGATGATTTCATCCGTCTGCAAGATCCTCTGCATTTTCTTAATTAGCTATCACAGGTTTTCAGAAACTGTAGGAGGGAATGGGATTGCCCGTGCGGATGATGCTTATGCTGCACAGAGCCACTGAGTTAATATTTTTCTCGGCTGCATCCTCCAAAGGCCCACCCCAGGCGCCCAGGGCGGGGCGCGGGCGCGTGGGCAAGGGCTGCAGGACAGGTGCATACACGCACCCAGCGCGCGGGCCCCGCGGGAGGTCAAGGCAGTATTTAATAACGTTTTGAGTTACAGACAACAAAACCTAATCTCAATACCTTAACCAGAAGGTCTTTTCCCAAGAGGCTTTGACAGTGGTTCGCTCGGTGGGAAATTTGAAGAACTAGGTTTGAGCCGGAATGGAAAGGAGGTGGACTGTAAACAAGTTTGCATCGGGAATTTATTCTCAGGATTCTGGCCCGGCCCTGCTGCTCTCCAGTGGCCACTGTTGCTGCTGGCACACCTCCCTTGCAGCTCATCCTCGCACCGCTGCACTCTACAGTACCATGACGTCACTCATACATGAAGTACCACGCAGTCACTCTACAGAAACATTTCCAACTACCTCCCTCCGTCCACTTTCGAAGTCCCAGCATCTGTTTGCCTGTGCTCAGTCATGAGTTTGGCGCTCGCACGATGTAGAAAGTGTGCTTGGACTCTAGACTGTGAAAAACGAGAAATACCTACTGCCGTCTGTTCTCTCAGGTGCTCGTGTTAGAGCATTCCTATTTATACTTCCAGATAAGACTTTTACTCATGACTCAAGATTTAGTAGGAGAGACTTTAATCTAGACAAAGCCTCATCAAAATCTACCAGCTATTGAATGGTAGGAAGCTTCCATTTTCATAGATCAAGAAAGTACGTGTATCAGTAAATGAATGGCTAAAGAAAATGTGGTGTTTGCACAGAAAGGCCTCAGAGACCAGCACTTGCATAAACGAGTAAGAGGAAGCAGGACGAGACAGACAATGGGAAAAGTTTAAGTGTGCCGAGGGCCCAATAATGACTTCTGAGCTCTTGCGCAGCCCACGGTCCCAGATGCCTGCCATGGTTGCACACAGATGCTCAAGAAATAGCCTGGCTCCAAGAGCGCAAGGTTTCCTTCCTTGCAGAGGATGAAAACTAGTTTTCTCAGCCCAAATGAAGCCGACTACAGAGCATATGGCCCACGAGAGCAAAGGAAGCACGCAGGAGTTATCAAGGCACTGTTGGCCCAGGTGGGGCCCTGGGCTGTTGTTTCCTATGTGTGATCTCTCGTTCTGAGCAGGAATGAAAGGGAGGTGGAGCATAAACAAGCTTGCACAGGAATTCATTCTCAGGATTACATCAGGGTCCTGTTGCTCCCCAGTGGCCACTGGCTTCTGCTGGCACATCTTAAAAGAGTCTCTTTTCTCACAGCCCTGTCTACAGTCTTTACTTAACAGTGGGGCTCACATACAAAGTTTTTCAAATATTTATCATTCAGTAGTTTTTGCCTGCTTCTTGTAATACCCAAAACAACCAAGGGATAGAAGGCACCTGACAGAGGTGAGGGGGAAGGGCACACCATGGTGTCTGCTTCCGGGGCGAGTCACCCAGGTGGGACTCAGCATCCTCAGAGTCTACAGAAGAATTGTTTTCTCTCAGTCAGGCCTGAGGAGACTACGGACTGCCTGGGGCTCACTTGTAGCACGCAGCGAGCGTAGCTGACAAAATTCAAGGTGGATGTCAGAAAATCGTGCGTGACTGAAATCTTCCCCTACCTGTATTTACATCAACTTGCTATTCCTGCAGTCAGGGATAACTTTAAGGTAGTTGTTAGGTGAAGGCACACCTTCTTAATCATTTTTCATCATGGCTACTAGCATGTATTGGGCTTACAGCATATCTAGGCACTTCCATTGCAAAGTATGGGGGAACGGAGGCCGTATGAAATGTATAGGACTCCTTGTGACCGGCTTTGCACCTTGCTATAAGCATCCTTGTGGTGTAGTGCTAGGGAGGGTTGTATATTCTGAAGCCCGAGAGATCTAAGTTTGGGGCTCTGCTCTACTACTTATTATGTGACCTTGAGAAAAACACTACCTTCTTAAACCTGTTTATTCATGTGAAATGTGAGAAAAATATTAAGAGCATCATTGAAAGGACTTGGTTATGTTTCTGATAGTATCTGGTGTATGAGCCTTGAGAAAGTGAAAAATCAGTCCTCCTGGTCTGCAGACTCTCCTGCTCCTAACATAGTATAAACATTGTTTCCAGTGTGATACACATGAGAACTCTTGGACAGTGCTTCTAGATGAAACTGACTAGAGCAGCAACAAATGGCAATCAGTCCTCTCTGATCCTTTTTTTTTTTTTTTTTAACCAGTGCTGTCCTCTGCCAGCCTTCACTCCTCACGCTACCCTCAGACTGGATGAGGTATGGACAGGAGGGACAGAAAGGACAGGGAAAGGTAAGGCAGCACAAGAAGTGAGAAGGTGCTGGGCCTCGTTTAATCACTAACTAGCTGTGTGACCTTTGGTCTGCCTGGGACTCAGCTTCCTCATCTGTGACAGTGGAACAATGGTACAGCCATAAAAATAGGGCCACTGTGAATATTAAAGGAGATAATGTATACATAGGGCTTAGGATGGTCTCTGGTAGGTCATAATCCTTCAAAGATCTTATAGCTGAATCGAGAAAATAAGTCAAGAAGTTGCATGGACCTCAAAAGGTAATTTTTAAGACTATGTATATAAATATAAAGTAATGGGCTAGAATGATACTCACCAAATTCATAATGATTCATTTGCTGGGAAGAAAGTAATGGAATTAGGATGGGAAAGGGAATTTTAACATTATCCATAATGCTCTATTTCTTTGATTACAAACATCTGAACCCATATTTAGAAAGATCTCTGTGGTAGTATGCAAATGTTTTATATCCAAATGCTGTTGTCCAACTCTGTGTGGGATCTTAGCTGAGAAGCAGAGGTCAGTGGTGAGCACCTCTGAGGCTGGCCAGTGTTCAGTGTTTTTGTGCACTCTTCGAACATTAGGTAGGTTCATGGCCTACTGTGTGTGGAACTAAGGGTATAGAGTTAGAATTCTTCAGTATGTATCAACTTGGATGTATAGTTCAAATATTTTAATAATACATTATTCAGATATAATCCATGTCAAAAGATCATGCTTTTTAAGTGTACTAGAATATAACATATAAAATGTAGAACAGACATATCTAATATGTAGATATTTTCCCATAACTCCTCCAACACCTTTGCCATTTTTGTGGACAATGTTTATTTAGATAGATTTTTTTTTTTATACCCAGCTTCCAGCACCCTGGTTTAGCCATGGTCTAACAGCTAGGGGCTACAAAGTGAAGTGGAGTATAATAATATCCCAAGTCCTTTCATCACTCCTGGGACAACTCTGTATTTCTATTGCCGGAGATACTCTGTTGGACTGAACAAAGTTTAACTTTGTGGGACTTGGCTGAATTTACACCCTAACTTGGCTTATTTTTTCTCCTGTTCCCACATCTCATTTCCTGAATGTTTTTTGTAGAGACACTTTCTAGTTGATTGTTGTCACAAAAGTCTTTCTCTCTGGGTCTGTTTGTGGAGAGCCCATACTGAGCCAATATGTGGCCCATGGCCATTGCTTTCCCATGTGATCCAGAGAAGATTTGTATCCAAATCTCTTGTCGGTTTTTGTTTGTTGGTTGGTTGGTTGGTTTTTTTTTTAGTACAGATATCCAAGTCTTGTGCAGTCATAAGTTAGAATCTCTAGGAGGAGAGCTCAGAGGTCTGCATTTTGATCAAGGCCAATCTCCTACCTCGACATTTTTCTGTACCCTAGAGTATTAGAACCAAGAGGCTGCAAATGTTCTTTTCCAGATGAGGATTTTACCAAACCACATTAGGGGTCTACAAGCAAAATCTCAGAGGGAATTCACAGGACCACATGAGCAATTTCCCCATTTGATTCTCTAGGTAAGTGTGCCTGCTGCTTCTTATAGGATGAGGGACTGGGAAGTAAGAGTTGAAAAATTGACCTATAAATCATGTTTGTGTTGAAACTGCAAACCAAAGAGGAGGGTGGCCTACTTAACTTCAGGATAGTTAACATTATTGGATGTCTATCTAGCCATGAATTTCTCCTGTTTTCTGTATGACAGAAGTCAGATTTGGTTCGGTTATTTAACCCATCCATCCCAAATAATCCATATACTTCAGGAGAAGTTAACTTTACTACTGTTGGATCTGGTGTGGGATTGACTTGTCCAAGGGAGGCTCTGCCTCTTTACTCAAGGTTGGTTCAGCAATTGGCTTGCAACATGCTTCTGGCTCATGAGATATGAGAAATGTTTTACTGGAAATTTCTGAGAACATACTTCCTTTCCCTTTCAAAGTGTTCCAGAAGCAACTCTCCCTTTCTTAAATTGCATATGAACAATGGGAAATGTAGCCCCAGATGCTACTAGAAGCCACTCTACCTATGGCCAAGAGGAAAGCCAGCTTCAGGATGCAGTTGACTCTGGACAGCACAGCAAAGTCATGGAAAGAACTTGGATCTTCGGTAGAATACAAGCCTACTTACATCAACCAAAAGGGATTCCCATCCTCCTTCAGGCTTCCTATTATATAAACAATGAATTTCCAAACTGTTCAGTGCAGGCTGGTTTCCTGAAAGACTCAAAGCCTTCAGATTGATATACTTTGACACTGAAAATAATATAACCTCCAAAAGTAAAACTGTAACATAAAGAATTTTAAGTGATGTCAGAAGGCATTCTTTCACAAAGCCAGTGACTAACTCCCACTCACACTCAGGGATATATCAGTATGTAAGGTACACATTATTCCAGTCAGAAAGCATCAGGCTCTCTGCAAGGTCACAGGTGCTCGTACACTGCTGGAGTTGACAGCCCCTGTGGGACCAGCATCACAGCCCCTCAGCTGTACCCTGGACATGCAATCTTGGGTTTTCCATTGATTTTCATAATATACATCTGCTCTGGGCTTCTCCCTGCTGTCTCAATAGGTAAGGCAGGGCAGTGGCCACTGTCTTGAGCAGTGTTTTCATTTACAGTTACAATGCAGGGAGCAGGGAGCCAGCTGGAAAACAAATGAAACACTGCTGCCTGGGGAATCAGATTCTTCTTGGAACTTTTTGAGAAGCATTGAGTTTTTGATGCTTCACAAAACACTGAACATCATCTAAGAGCTGAGCCACCAGGGTTACCCTGTCCTGCCAGGCTAGCAGGCAGAACTTCAGAGCCAAGAGTCATTGTTGACTTTTTACTTTGTCTAAATGATTTCAAACTTGCTGAGGGGGGCAGAATCTCTTCTCAGAAAGTTAGATCTCCTCTGTAATAACTCCATGTGAGAGACAATAACTGAAAGTAGCAGATTCTGAAGAGCTCTAGACAGCTTTATCCCATCACTGGACTGGTGTTACCTGTTCTCTCCCTTGTCCCTCTCTTATGTACCTCACTCAGAGTATATTTATTGGGCCCGGAGGTGATAAGATTCTATACCACTGAGAAACTACTAGTTTTTACTGAGGTAACAACATGTTGCAAAGAGACCTGAACCTGAAGGGTAGTGTTATGTTCAGATATAAAATGTCCCCGCAAAGTCTCATGTATTTGGAAGGCTATGGGATCATGGGTGAACTATGAATCACTGGACTGGATTCACTCACTGATGTGTTCAGTAGTTCAGCATGCTGTTAGGAGGTGATTCACTGGAGCGAACTTACAAGGGCTGTATTTTTGTTCCTGGTTCCTCCCTTCTCTCTGTGGATCCTGGCCACTGTGAAGTGAGCAGCTTTCCTCTTCCATAACCTTCCACCGTGCAATTTCTTCCTTGGAGCCAGCCAGTTGTGGACTGAAATCCTCAAACCATGAGCCAATTAAACCTCTCCAAACTTTTAAATTGTGGGTGTTGGGTGTTTTGACCCAGTAAAAGGAAATCTGACTACTATTGGTAGCATATTAGAAGGTTTAATGTAATATAAAAAACCATGCAATCCTAGATTAACACGTCGGGTGTTTAGATCAAATTTAAAAACATTTTCCAAATCAGGATTTTTGGCTGCCAGTGACAGAAATACAACTCAAACTAGTTTTGACCAAAAGGGAATTCTTCAACTCATGGAATCCGAGAGAAAGACATTCAAACTGCAGCAATAGAACCAGAAAGTCAAGACTAAACCGGCTCTCTCTGGACCTCTACTCTCTGCTTCTTTCTTGATGTTGGCTTTTTTTTTTTCTCTCTCACTGCAGATAAATTTTCACCAAATGAATATCAAGATGGAAGACAGCGGGTTTTGAGCCATAATGAATTGCTTGCATCACTCTTTCCCAATTCCAGAACAACTCATGGAGAAAAAAATCTGATCTAAGAAATCTGCCTTAGATCAGGCACCTGGAAGTGTCTCAGCTGGCTAGAGGAAGCCAGGGATCTCTAGAGAAAGGAGGAATTCAGGCAAACACTCCTGAAGGGTTCATTGAACAGAACCTCAGCCAGAGGGGAGAACCAGTCAGCACACATCAAAGCTGGAAGATACTATAAGGTTTACCTTGTCCAAGAAATCAGGAATCAGATCAACCAGAGATTATGATAGAGATACAACAAATGAGAAAGAGAAGCGAAGCTGATACCTAGGCCTCTTAGCGAGCTGCAAAAATGATTTCTGAACAAGAAGTTTTTCCTCTGGCTAGCTGACATAACTGACAAAGAGCCTCTCCCGGCTCATACCCCTCCCACACCTAAAACATGTCCTCCTTCACTGCCCTTTGTTCTCAGTGTCTGTATCCTCAAGATGATATAATCCCTACTTTCCCGCCATATACAAATGAGGTATATTCCAGTGCAGTTTTCTATCCAGTCATGTAAACTAAATGTAACTTCCTCATCCGATGAACTGGTGTTAAATGCCCTGCTTCTGTATCCCCATCCCTCTTCCCTTGATCCATATAAATCCTGTTCACTGCCAGCTCCTTGCCAATCGCTTTGTGGAGAATCTCCAGTCAGCTTGCCACCATAAATAACGAAGCTGTACACTTGCCTCCAACCTCTGGGTGTGTTCTCGATTCTTGCCCCGATCCTGCTAAACCACTCAGAGCTACAACGCTATGAACATCACATCGGCTGTTACGTTAGCATTGTGTATTTTGCTTTCTCTCTATACTAGAAACAGTTAAGGGAAAATTCATTGTTTTTCATTTCAAAATGCCTTTCTCAACTTCTTACAATCCCCATGACAGGTAGGTCTTTGTAGATGATGGTACTTGTTACTACTCTTTGAAGAGGAATTGAGAATCTCTTTTTTCTGATAGATTTGAGGAGGATTTCAGGCCAACTCACTTGAGGCAACTCACTTTAGGCTCAATGCTTCACACTTGTCATACAGTTTAATTCTTAAAGCACACGGGGACTAACAATGCATTTATTCTCTTAATAGTCCAAAGAGTTGCTGATTCTTTCGTAACGTCACCTGTGGCAAACCTGACAGTGCTAATAAAATAGCCCTTCTCCCAACTGTCCCTCCTCTAACGCAGTCACATCTTATAATCTTATGCCTGAAACTCTTCACATAAAATCACCTGCAATATTTTGAGAACCATATTGTGAAGATGAATTTGTGCTATGAATGTGACTTTCAATTTATATGTTTTCAGCTGGCTGTCCAAGTGTAAGAAAGCTTTTCCAGTGTTTAATGGAGCCATTTGTCTCTAGGTATAAGAGCTAATACAATGTGACCTCTTTGGTCTTGGAGTTCTGCCTTTTGTTCTTTGGCATGAGCACCCAGTAAACAAAGAAATAAAATAACTTTAAAATCAGTGAAAATCACAGATGGCATTTTTGTTTGTTTGTTTGTTTTCTCAGGAGACAGTGGATCTCTAAGGAATTGCAGGAATGAGACAGATTACATCCTCATTGTCTAGGTACTTAGATTTCAGGTCTAGAGCATTACCTTCTGTACAATTCTAGATCTGTCTGTAGGAACTCTTTAAAACAAAGAATGTCTGCAAATTAGACTTAGGAGAATGCCTGGTCAGGACAGAAGTTTTATCCTGGTATTTTTATAGAAGTTGCCACTTCTGCTATTATTATTGCCTCAGTTTCTTTTTAGAAATTTGTGAGATGGCTTAGAGTTATTTTATGCAGAGAAGTAAGAGGTAACTCTAGCTAAATAGCATTCAAAAATTGCTGACAACTAAAGAAAGACTTGTCTTGATGAGGAAGCAAATAGCTAAATAATAATCAAGGCTAACTTTAGAAATGTAGGAAGTGGTAAAATTGCCTGTGATAATAATGGTAGTTAACACTACATAGTGCTTGCTATATCCTAAGTGGTTTATGGCACTTGATTCCTTTAAGTCTTATCTACCCTCGGAGGAGGTAGTTAGTGTTACTATTCCTCTCATTATACAGATGAGGAAATTAAGGCCTAGAATGTACTTAAGGTCATGTGACTAGCTATGCCTGTTCTTTTTCACTGATCAATATCTGTGTCTGCTTCTGGCAAAAACCCCCATTCATCTTTGGGGAACCACCCACCTACTCCTCACATTTATTGCCTGTGGACCACTTGAGAGTACCAACTTCTCCCCCTTCTCCCAAGGCTACTGAAGAGGTTATGTTGATATAGGGAGAATAATATTGGGATGATATAGAACCTCCAAAGAATATAAGGGAAATATAACTCCCAACCTGCTAGATGTCCAATAGGCCGAGTTCGTGTTCTCTAAAATCAAATAATGAATTCTAGGAACAACAGAGGTTAAGAGTAGGAAGTACTTATTGAGAGGAAGATAGCTTTTGTCTAAGAGAGACAGAAGAGGGCCCTGAGTGGATGTCTGCAAACCCTGCTTCTCAGGAGATTTTTATAGAGCGAAGCCAGGCAGTGAAGTAAGTACAGAGTGGGACAAAATAGTCAACTAATAAGAGTCCAACAAGTACAGTCACTTAGGTAATATTGATCAAATGGGAATCCAATGGGGAAGCAAGTCACATAGCAAGTTTGCATGGAAGGAACAAGGACTTTCCAGGAAGGAACGGGCTAGGGAGGTTTTGGTCCCCCACCAAAGGTGATTGATATTAATCACTGCTTTTCATCCCAAAGAGAAGCATGTGGGTGTAGTCATTTCTCTTTGTCTTGAAGCCTGACCTTCAAGGAATGCACCTTCAGCCAGTTGTAATATGTTCTTACCTTCTGCACTGACTCTTTGAGGACATAGCCCTGCCTGACTGCCTATAATATTCCTAACTTAGCTGTCTATAATACTGTAACTCAGACCTAGGCTAGTCAGTAGCCAAAGTGGCGAGTTTGGGGATGGCTATGAACACAATCATGCTGAACATGTACACACTATTATCAAAGGAGAATTTCTCTTTGGGATCTAGTCAAAGCTGGGAGAATATAAGCCTGGGGCTATAGGAGCCAACAAGTAGAGAAGACAGCCTCAGAGTGGAGCTTCATAAAGGATAGCGGAGCTGTCCTGGTGATACTGCTGAGGCCCCAAGTTCAGTCATTCTCAAAGAGTGCACTACACTCGTTTCACTTTAAAAATACTTCAATTTAGTGGGTTTTTTTTAAAGGTGTACAGCCATCAAAACTGTATTATTTTTGAAAAATTTCACCACCCCAGTGAAACCCTATACTATTTAGAACCCTCCCCTTACCCTTCTCATCAGCTCTTTGCAAGCGTTACTCTACTTTCCATCTCAATATATTCGCTATTCTGGACATTTCATGTAAATGGAAGCATGCAATATGTAACTTTGTGTCTGACTTTTTTCCATTTAGCATAACATTCTTGAGGTTTATCCATGCTGTATAGTAGATCAGTACTTCATTTCTTTTTATGGCCCAGTAACATTTCATTGTATGAATGTACCACATGTTGCTTTTCATCACCTATTGATGAAACTTGTCAGAAGCTACCAGACTGTTTTCTAGAGTGACTGCACCATTTTGCATTCCTGACAGCTATGAATGAGGGTTGCAATTTCTACACGTTCTCACTAACCCTTGTTTCCTGTCTTTTTATTATAGCCATCTGAGGTGTGAAATGATACTGCATTATGATTTTGATTTGCAAAATGTCCTCCTAATCTGTGATGTCTTCATTTACTTAAAAATCACTCTTGACACACATAAGTTTTTAATTTTGATGCTCAATTTATTTATTTTTTTCTTCAGTTACTTGTATGCTGAATGAGCTTTGTAGTCTTGGGAAAATTCTACTTAGTTAAGGTCCATAATTATTTTATATGCTGCTATATTCAGCTTGCTATTTTTTTATTGAGGGCATTTGCATCTATATTCATAAGAGATATTGGTGAGAAGTTTCTTCTGATGCATGCTTGATTTTAAAATGAAAGAAATACTGGCTTTAGAGGATCAATTGAGAAGTGTTTTAACCTTCTATTTTTTAGGTAGAAGATTTTTAAAAGACTGTTAATTTTTGAAATGTTAGTAGACTTCACCGTTATAGCCATGTGGTCCCAGCCTTTCCTTTCTGGGAAGTTTTTGGATTACTAATCTAATTTCTTATTATTATAGATTTATTCAGATTTTCTATTTCTTCTTGAGCCAGTTTTGGTTGTTTGTATTTAGGAATTTGTCCAATTCATCTAGGTTTTTCTACTTTGTTGATATTATAGACAGCTAAGTTACTTAGATACATTATAGGTAGTAAGACTGGGTAAGGCCAAGGAGCCAGCACAGAAGACAGTTATGGATGGAGGCAATTCACTGAAGGTCAAACTTCAAGAAAATAGGAACCGCTACTCCCACATACTTCCCCTAGGGATGCACAGCTGTGATTAATATTCTAAGTACCTTTAGTATCAATCAACTTGGGTGGGAAGCAAAGCATTCCTGTCCTGTTACTTCCTAGAAGGTCCTTCTTCAGCCCATGTATGCTTGCTGCATGACTTGCTTCTCCATTTAACCCCCATTTAATCAATATTACCTAAGCGATTATACTTATGATCTTATTGGTTGGCCATAGTCTTGTTCCATCTCACATCCACTTTGTGGTTTCCCATTGGGTCAATATTACCTAAGCGACTATACTTGTAATCCTATTAGTTGATTGTAGTTTTGTCCCACCTCATACTTGACTCACCAGGTGGCTTTGCTCTATAAAGCTCTCTTTATTCATTCTTAATTTTAGTACTTTGAGGGTTTTTCTTCTCTCCCTTTCCCTTTTCTCTCTCACACTGATAACTTTTGCCATTAAAAAATATTTTTTTGATTAATGAATTGTTTGCTAAATTGTTACCTGCTTCCCCAGGATCCTCCAAAATTAAACATCTTCCTGTAATTATTTTCAACAATGTTTCCTGGGCATAAGGTTTTTTTCACATTTGGGAAATACTGAGATAGGTCAAATATTGATAGTTTCATAGGTGAGTTTTTCAGAGAACCATCAGAAAAGCCACTGACAATGACAAAAAAGTTAATGACGATTCTTCAAGTAAGTATTTGAGAAAGCTACATCCCACCTATGGTCTGAATGTGCCCCAAATGCATGTTCTGGAAAACTAACCCCTCATCCAATACTGTTGGCAAGTCAGGTCTTTTAGAACAGGGTTAGGTCAAGAGCAATGTACCCTTACAAATGGACTCATGGTGCTATAAAAAGTCTTATAGCAATGACTTTACTCTTTCTTGTCCCAACCTTCTGCTATGTGAAGACATAGCAAGGAAGCCCTTGCTGAGATGCTAGCACCGCACCTTGATCTTGAACTTTTCAGCTTTTAGGACCATGTGAAATCAAGTCCTGTTCTTTATAAATTTCCCAGTCTTGGGCATGCTGTTATAGCAGCACAAAATAGACTAAAGCATCTCTGCTCTTCTGCCTTGGACAGCTACCAGTTTTTCCCTGGGAGTGTAGGCTGTTATTTCTCAAAGCTACTGTGGAGTTAGTAGGAGAGAGGATGAGGGAAATTGAATGCCATGAAGCTCATTATTTTTACTGAATCTAACCATTTTTATTCAACAAACATTTTCAGGTTTCTACAAGGTTTTGCTTAATTTCTAGAGGTCTGAAAAACTGGCTTCAGACAATTTTGCTTTGCATTGCTGTTATGGAGAGCAGGTTTCTAGAGGATCTGACAAACTTTTTTGCTGAAATCCTGCCTCCTTCTTCATTTTTAAAAATTAATTTTATTGGTACAATTTAGATGTATATAATGATCACATTCATCATAGGGAATTTGTACCTGAAAATGATATAGTTTGATTCCTTTTTTTTTCCTCATTCACTTCCCCTCCCTTCAAACCCCCTTTCGTACTTTATTTACAAAGCT